AACATTGCATAATTCAATGAAAAACCATACACAGCACCGCCCCAAGCTCTCACCTTACATAAGATACATTTAATAATTCACCCCAAGTAACTTGCCCCGAAGGCGGCCATCGTGATCAGAAATTTGAGAGTTGGGGGCGAGCTCAGTTTTAATCTTACAACTTTTCCTGTCGGTGTCACTCTAACCTCGCTTCGATTAATGGAGAATTACTTTCAAAGTCTATATGAAGCGAACTTTAATATTGGCAGCATTTGTTCGACGCTGTTAAAATGGGCGGACTTCTCGCGATATATTTTCCCCCGTAAATTAATTTATTTATTTAACTTTATTAATTACTAGCGATTTTAAATATTTTGATTTCGAATTTGATTACTATAAAAGTGGTTCTTATTAGTTAATCTTATATCTTATTTGGGCACCTTGAACCGTTCTCGCAGCGCACACAACGAAAACTCTCATAGAGGAATAATTTTAACACCATCTTCGTTCCTATCGGTTGCAGCGTGATGTTTTATAGTCTAGGGATCTAAAATGCACTAACCAACAAATAAAAAAACCCTTCAGCTTTATACATTAGTATAGATGATCTTACCTACATCACAAGAAAGGTACAAAGAGGCACTGTAAAAGAAGACGGATAGCGAAAAATCAGCGATATTCCGAGGGATACAAAAAACATGTTCCCCACAGTATAATGTATGTGTTGCATTATTTATAGTATTGGCCGACCCATTTCATTCCCTACCTATTGTTTGTACCATCTCTTTGGCCTTGGCTTACGTTATTTGAACGTAAGGCCTGAATCGGCGCTCTGTTTACACACAGGTATAGACTAAATTCAATGATAATATTAGCTATGTACACGTACAAGACAAGATTGAACTTAAATTGAGATTGCTTTAGAATTGTGGTTACATTAGGTCCGACATTTGTAATTGAACTAGTGTCTAATACATTGATGGCTTAGGCTCACTATACTAATATTATAAATCTAAAAACTTTCTTTGTTTGAACGCGCTAATCTCAGTAACTACTGGTTTGAAGTAAAAAAATCTTTTTGTGTTGGTTAGAACATTTGTAGAGGATGGCTTTAGAATAACACGCTAAGATCAATACAAAGTCAGTCTTTTAGGATTTACTTGCAAGAACTACGAGACATCGTAGGTAACAGCTATAAAGATTGTGTAAATATTGCAATAAAACATTTAAGGGTTCAAAACGCGTATTAAAATTTGATTTCTCCCTGCCGTGGAAAATAACGTATCCTACGAGTAAACGACATCTAGTATAACTGTAAAAAGTAAAAATAACTATTCTACGAAACGGCATCTAGTATAACGTAAGTACACGCTCTTTTGACGCTAATTATAACACATGATATATTATGTGTTATATTTAGCGTATTGTGGGTTCGAATCCCACCATTGTACGCTTGTGAATCGATTGAGGCTTTTGTGTTTGTGAAGCATGTTTGAATGGAAATATATATAGAATGGAAGGGGGTGGAATACCAAAATTACGACAGATTCACCCTCGATGGGTGAAGAATTCATGAACTGTAAATTTGCTTTGAACTTTGAATTCAAGAAACAGCTAAGTCTCAATATAGCTCCAATATAACTAATTCCATAATAAAAACTCCAAATATTTAACAGCTATCAACAATACCTATACACGAGGAGACATCGTGAGGCAGTTTTGCAAGGATTCAGATAGTTTACAGTTAGGAAACAGATGGCGCTACTGAAGCAGATATGACTTTGATATTAGGGACACCCTCTATCTACAGTCACCCCGTGACAACGTCTACAGAATAGTATCCGAAACGACGAGCCGTAGTTAACGTACTAAAAAATAAGCGAAGTCATAAATTTCGCGTTTTAAACCATTATACGGGTTTTATTTACATTTAAATTAACTGTTTATGTTTATGGATTTCGGAGTGAACAAAATGTAGGTCAATAGAGCTTAACAGCTTGATCATAATATGAATGCTATGCTTGTCTGTGCTCAATTGGTTATAGAAAACTTTTTTTTTCAGTATTAAGTCCTTTTAAATTTTCTTCACCATCTATTTCCATTCGTACTCATCCAATAAATTATTCAAGGGCATCTGACCCGCCATTTTCTCCGTGACAAGACCCAATCTATCTTACGAATGTCTACTAGCCTTAACATTCTTAATGTACTATTACATTTTTTTGCCGACAAACACATTGTTGGCACAAGAATCACATGAATAAAATAAATAGGATCTGTAGACAAAAAAACAAACCTCTTTTCCGAATAAATGCGTACGGTACGGTTGTATGGACGTTTTTATTCCTTACGTTCGTTGGCCGTTTCAGCGAAAACCTCTTGTTTTGTACACCTATTTATGTTATGAATGTAATAAAATTGTTGTAATATTATAAACTAGCTGTGCCAGCGACTTCGTCTGCGTAGAATAGTTACTTTGGGCATCCAAATTTGTTTTTGCTGACTCTCACATCTTTATAAATTTAAGCTGCCCACGACATCGGTCGTCTCGCTTCTCTCGCGACCCGTCGTTCGGGACCCGTCGTTCTTGCAAGTTAATCTTAAAAGATAGACATATTGTGTGATTAACATTTTTTTAGACCATTTAAAGAGGAATGATTCCTTCATACATATTTTCAGGGAAACTTGAACCGTTTTCGCAGCGCACGAATCTGAAACCCACAGAGATGAAAATTTTCCCCCGTTTTGTTCATATTTCCAGCTGTCTCTTCGCTTCTATTTAAGCGCTTGTTTACGGCCTTTAGCCATAGCCTTTCTCGATAAATGTTCTAACCAACACAAAAATAATTTTTCAATTCGACTCGTAGTGCGTTCAAACAATCAAACTCTTCAGCTTTATATATTAGTATAGATGTATAAGCTAGGTGGAATTAAGTACAGTTGATGTAATGACAGCAAGTATGGCTAATTATCATCGGGGATGCTCGCTCCATGGGCGTATGTCGATCTTCATCGGTCGTATGCTCGATCTCCATCGGGTCGTATGTCGTCCATGGCAAATTTTTCTAATCAATATATAATCTATGGAAACATGTTGATTGTCTGTAAATCTGGATATTATGGGCGGTAAAAGTTGAATTCCGTCCCGGTAACGAAACCACCATCGACGGATGAAAAAGCTGTGAATATCAATCGTTTTCGGTTGCAGTTGATTTCCGAATATCCAAAGCCAATAGGTTGAGCGCCTTTAAACCGTTAAAAGTGTTTTAGTTAAACTAAGGAAATACATTGATACAGTCTAAGTAAGCTTAAAAAAAATTAAATACAGACACCCTCTGTAGTTTACGCGAGTAACTTAGATAGAAATAAAACATTTGAGCGGTTCAAAACGCGATATATTAGTTAAACTTATTTGAAAATTATCTTTTTTTTTTGTAACTACGGCCCGACGTTTCAGATGCTTTGCACCAGCTGTGGTCACGGCGTGACTCAAAGCAACCGAAACGTCTCGTAGTTAAAATAATCGCGTTTTAAACCGCTTAAGTGTTGTATTTAAATTTGAATACAGTTTAGTACGTTCTAAGTAAAAACATCTCGGGTACAGAGTATGAAATCACTTACCATTATTATAAGACGCATTCGGTTCGCTTCACACGGTGACAGACGCCACATCTCGTAAAAGTAGGTCGCTAATCATTAACGCGAGTGAGTACTTGACAGTGTCACCTTTACTCAAGCTCCTAACCTCAGAAAAACACGTGCCATAACTCCCAAGTACTACTAATATTTTTTGACAGGCGCGTTGGTCCATTTTTTACGATAAAGGAGAACTAGGTAAAAAAATGCCATGTAACATCGAGACATAATCCGCTACCGTAGTTTGGCTCTAACGCTTCAACGCTTTTTTATCTTTGGACGGCGGTTCGTGATCCGGGAGCGAAAATATTCCTAACACACATTTAATGCTAAAACTTTCTAGACAAAGTCTATACGCATACATAATTACAGTTAATTATTCCCATTTCTTTTATGTACATGTATATATATATATATATATATATATATAAAAAAATGATATATATATATAGAGTATATGTATATAATTATTGTTACTATGTGTTGGAGAAAATGTTCTTTATTTAGTAAAGCCCAGTAGTAATAAAAGTAATATAATTAGCTCCGGACATCTGCGCAGAGGTCATTACAAGGTCAAATATGATACGTAATTCCCTTATTCGTTTATATGTAAAGAGCAGGTAACCGTAGAGAAGTATAGACAGGCTTGAAGTTCTCTTTACATAAGGGAAATAATTCAGCCCTGTTACATCTAATTATGATGCGCTGTCGGCTTATTTTTGTTTTAAGAGTTCGAAAATTTCTTAAAGGAGAATTTATGTAAAGAAATTCGAAAGTTAATTAAAATTTTGTATTAAAGCGAATAATCATTCACTGCGGAGTTTAACTTAAGGTTTTTGACACAAACCCCTTTTTTACGCTAAGCTTGAGAGCGCTGTTATTACAATTTCTGAGAAATTAGATCTACACAGCGTTCAAAAACAGCTCTATTAATAGGCCTACCCTACCCTTGTCAATGTCTGCTGCAAATTGAGTTTTAATTTATCACTTCAAAATAAAAAGTTATTTCAACATTTTACACCAACAACGCCTGTTACCATGGTTACGACTTTTATAAAGTAACTGAAAAAAGCCTTACGTGGATAATATATTTATTTTAAGTCACGTCTGAAACTACGTTTAATACATCACATCGCGGGTAAAGATATTTAACAAATATGGTTCGCGTAAATCGTCAAAATTATTTTATTTAAACATATTATAAGATCGCAACTTCAATAACAGACCACGCCGCCTGTAAATGTGTAACTCCACTGTCAAGAACAAAGCAAAACCGTTGAAGTATAAAAATCTTTACAAAAAAGCTACAAAAGGAATTCATTTTCATTTCTTTGTTTCAGATAATGAAAGCGTTTGTTGCTGCTTTACGGATGCCTTAAGGCAATATGAAATTTAAACGGACTCTCGACGTGCGGCTGATCGCCCTGTGCACAACCTGCTTTCTGCTTCCGGCCATCGCTTGCCCCTCCCAGTGCATATGCAAGTGGAAGAACGGAAAACGATACGTCGAGTGCACCGAGAAAGATTTGAAAGCGATCCCCAACTCCCTGGACTCGGAAACCCAAGTGCTGGACTTCACCGGCAACGATTTGCAAGTCCTACAAAAGGAGACCTTCCACAAACTCGGCCTATTGGATTTGCAAAAAATCTATTTCCAGAGATGTCGTTTGCAGAAGATCGATACTTTCGCCTTCAGGGGCCTCGCCAATTTAGTCGAGTTAGATCTATCCAATAATTACATCACAGTCATCCCATCTAGCAACTTCGTCTTTTTTCCATCCCTAATGAGACTCTCTTTGAACAACAATCCTATAACGAGCGTAAAGACTCACTGCTTCCAGCATCTGTCCTATTTGAATACATTAGAGCTGAGCAGTTGTAAAATTGAAAGTATAGAGGCGGAGGCTTTCGCCGGATTGAAACACTTGGAATGGCTGAGGCTAAATGGAAATAGGCTCGCGAACATTCAAGGCGATAATTTGTTTCCCGATACGCTGCGGGGTATCGATCTCCAGGGCAATAATTGGAGTTGTGATTGTCATTTGCGCGATTTACATAGCTGGCTATCGAATTTCAATATGCCACACGCCGTCGAGCCAATTTGCTCGCAACCTGAGCGGTTGAAAAAACGCACAATCACAAGTGTTGATGAATTCGATCTGGCGTGCTTACCGAAAATAACCTCAACCCCGACGTACATAGAGTCGAATATCGGGAACAACGTCACCCTCGAGTGTACAGTGAAGGCTGTGCCAGAAGCGAAAATACAATGGTTCTATCAAGGGCAACTTATACGTAATTATTCGACATCAGCCGCCGAGCCTCATCACGTTTTTTATGTTGAGAGCGGCGTTATCGATAAAAAGAGTGATCTACACATATACAATATCGGGAGCGATGACAATGGAACGTATTCGTGTGTCGCTGAAAACTCAGCTGGAAAGACGCGAACGAACTTCACAATTAAAATACTGATTAAAGAGGAACCCGTCGTTATCGTAGTGACGTTTCCCCACAGACATTTGGTAGTGATTATCACAGTGATATTTTTAATAATCGTATTATTTATTGTCATAGTAACGGTTGTGTTATTAAAGTTTAAAACGGATACGAGGAGTCGTAAAAAGAAAGAGAGCGGGAAGGACGTCGCATTATGCAATCAAATATTGCCTTCGAGCCGGGGGAACGGCTCTTTACCTAAAAATAATGGGAGCGTTATTGTAAACGCCCACTCGCACCACGCGTTGCATTATACAGTGCAAACAGCCAGAGAATTCGAGTCAAACGACACGTATCAAAGCAATAACATGAAAGGCTTTGTAGACAGAAATCCCGATCTAATTAGCGATGCGGAAACGGTCGCAAACAACGCACAGAACGAGAATACAGTGTTATCTGTGTACAAAACGCAAAATGGCGACGCGTTTGAGGAGGAGACCGCGTTTACTGCTCCGCCTGTGCAGCGGCAGGTCACGTGGCAGGACCAACAGACTGCGAACAGTCTGAGCCTCCCGCAGAACGCTATGTATCAGCACTCAGCGGACGTTCACCTCAATCCTGGCTGCTTTTTAGACAGCGAAGGTTACCCGTTCGACTACGGTCTCCCAAAACATCCTTGTCGAGCTCCGATGATGTCCAACTACGCAGTGGTCGGACCTTTTTACCAGACGCTGCCTCATAACCGACCGAAAGGTCAAAAGCTTGCTTGTAAGTATACTAAAGACACAGAGTTTAATGCCACACCACCGCCATGCGCCAACTATGAATTCAACGGCACAAATGTACGGCGTACATTAGAGGGTTACCCCGTGCCCCGGAACCGCCAAATTGCGTTTGTAGGAAACGGCACAGTGTATTACAACGAGGAGTTCGTGCCTTCGCCGCCAGAGGGCTATAAAACTGAGTCAGTGCAGTGTTGTGCTCCTCAAGAGGCCTGCGCCGCTTGGAATCCAAAGGGTACATGCGCCGTAATGGTCCCTATCGGAATAGAAGCCCCCGGCAGGTGTTATCAAGTGGAAACCAGATGTGTAGACACACAAACGACAGATACGCGAGTGCCGGGGGAAGGTACGGAAAACGTTTTGAAGCCGCTGCCTCAAGTCGCTAAATGTGCGTCAGATATATGTTCGGAAAGCCCTGATGAAGGGTATGTAGGCGACGCTAACGACATCTGACGACGTCGCAACGATAACGCGTAAACAGGGCAATTTAGACGATGTCGAAGTGATAAAGCGACTGAATATGAATAGTTGTGTATATATAATAAGTGTACAGTGCGCATACAAAGTTTCATATGTTTTGAAGTGAGTTTTATAGTGTTTTTTTTATTAATACCGACACGTTCTCATACTAAGTCTTAGTAGTTTACATAAGCACATTGAATAAAACAGATTTACCGGTCTAACATGTGAAATATATAATGTACATCCATAACTTCTCATTTTGCGTTTTAAACCGTTAAACGCGTTTTATTCAATGTATTCTATTTTAAAATTAATTACCTTGTGTTTAGGGTGAATTACTGAACATTAAGTGCCAATGTCGAAATGTTTCTAGTTAGACTTAAATACTCTAAAAGCATGTGTTGTGAAGTATTTCGTTTATTGCACTGGAGAGAAAATTGGTTTTTAAAATGAAATATTGTCGTCTCCTCCAGAGTTTCAACTCCACACTGCTTGTATTGTTTTCATTTTTACTCGTATAATGAAGTTTCTTCAAGCCTCTCTACCATTTTAGAAACGGCTTTTATATAAGTTGGATATAGTTTCTTATTGTTTTGTCATCAAACACAGTAACTTTTAAGAAATGTTGCAGGTTTAAAAATACTAATAGTGTAATACATTAAGATAACTCCCTTGTCTTTCTACGTTTTAATATTCACGCGGACCCTTGAACTCTTAAAAGTAAATATTTAAATCGTAATTGTAAATATTATAAGGAAGTGTAAATATTAGATTTTACTACGCATTTTCCAAATGGAATCGAGTAGAATAAAATTGTTCTCTCCATTCGTACCAAAATACTACCAATAGTACTTTGTAAGTTTGAAAAAGTATTTTAGTAGACGGATTGCATCGTTAGTAAAATATTCTGTTTCCATATTATTTGAAAATGAAACTAAAATTCAATCAATAAGTAACAAAGAGAATAACGGAGAATGAATGAAATAAACGTTGCTCGTGATGCCTCGTGTTAGTAGTATTTCATAGAATATGAAATGGTTTAATTACACAAACGATGACATAACTACGAAATTTCAATTATTATTTGAGCTATTATATAATGTAGTTTAGCTATAACACTGCCTGTAGCTTACGCGAGTGAAACAAGCATATAAGACAGTTGTAACGGTTCGAAACGAGTAATCTAATATGTATTGGATCAGAGAGTTTTCATGTCTCTATGGCAGTACTTTAACAATAATAAATACCTCAGTCGGAATATATAAGAGCTGAACTATAAATACGGGATGCGATACACATATTATTTTGGTACGAATGAAGTGAACTTTGTATAAATCGATATCAGGGTACCTCCCTTATGTTAGTGACGCCGTATCCGACATTTTCTTGCACGAAAGATTAGATAAGAAGGAAAACAGGTGAATCACGCGAATAATATTTACGAATTTATTGTGACAGCCTATCGTACGTCGGGAAGACATTTTAGTTTTGAATTTCCTTTAATTTTGGGCACAAAAGTCTTATGACTGAAATGTAATAAAAACCTATCTGTAAATAAGTGTGTGTGTGATTTTACATTTTTTTGTAAAATTGTTATCAAGTAATATAAAAATCGAACCAACATAGAGCGAAATGCTGTAATTCGATTGGCCGTGTGTAAAAAATAGATTATTAATTTTTAAACAGCTATTTAATTTTAAATTGTGTTTTCTACAGCATTAACTTACATTTAAGAATATATACACATATTCTTAATGAGGTTTATTGGTGTATTTATACAAATGGCATTTCCTTCAATATTTGCACACTAAACAATACTATACGAAGAACGACGTCGACGAAGGAAATTTATACGAATATTGAAAGTTTTCTCCGAAGCAAAATACCTTCCTGAATACAATATCGCAATATTCCGACAAAACTTTGTAAATGCACCTTGTTGAAACTCCTATATTAGTATACGGAACCAAGAAAATGTCAGAACGACTGAATAGGGAAATAATGTATGATATCTTTTGTAAGAAGACAATTTCTTTTCATATATTTTGTATCATGGATAGCAATACCTAATGTAATGTACAGTTAGCGATAAAAGTGATGTTTGATGGCTTCAACAAATTTCTTATTAAAATGCCATTCCTCCATTATAACTTTATCGCTAAGTTCAATGACCTTAATAATTGTTTTTAGCGAACAACATACAGACATGAAAACATCCCTTACTGTTCAACTGCTGTCTAAGACTTATCTTGTTTGACAACAATAGTAGCTTTTCAAAATGGCCGCGCAAACCAAAATGTCTGTACGTTATCGCTGACTGTGCCGCTAAATTTTAAATGCAATGTTGTCGACAATACATTATATGAGTTTAAGTAATTAAAACAACAATGGCGTTGAGTATATTTTCTTTCTGAAGCATCTTTATCGCGTAAAAAATATTTTTTTACACATTTAAATAAAACACTTTAACGGTTTGAAACGCGATATATATTAGTTAAACTTATTTGAAAATTATTAAGGAATCCGAAACTTCGGGCCGTAGTTAAAATCATTTTTAAACAAGTTGAACTAATTATATCGCGTTTTAAACCGTCAAAGTGATTAAAAAATTGATATCTCATATGGACGCTTTTTTTCAAATTTTGAATCACATATAACAAACGTTTCATGAAAAATACTAAATGAATGAACAACATAATCATTATATAATTACACTTATTATAATGATAATATAAATTAACGATTTCGATATTTGAAATTAATGATGATTTCTGATAAGTACTGTCGACATCATTTGTAAAGGTCCGTTACATAGTCGAATATGAACATATTATATTACTTCAACATTTTTACATATGAGGCTGCTAGAGGCAGAGTAACCTAATAACAAAAAACATAATCATGTTTTTTGAAAATCTTCAATAAGGAGGAAAAAATGCGCAATTAGCTTAGGCGAAAATGTATTTGTATTATTTGTGTAAAAAATAATATGTTAACAATTTTCGGTCACTGTGCTCTTGTAGATGATAAGATTACAGTTAGGCTACTCTGCCTCTAGCGGCCTCATATCATCTTCTGCGTAACGGGATCTTATTAAACAGGGGACACTGTCGTATAGTACACATCTTTTTCCCTTATTAAAGGAAAAAATAAATTTAAAGTTAATTATTTTTCAATATAAAGAAAGTGTTTATCTATCTGCTTTAAAAGCCGATTCATAAATATAGTTTTTATTTATGTGATTATTATGAAACACCGTTACTTGTCTGATGATGTGTTTGTAATTATTTCGAGAACGAAATTACACGAGCAAAGGTTTATTTGTAGTTGCGAAAGAGTCACTATAAGTAACAGAGTAAAAATAGTGCAACTTATAACTAAGTTACTAAGATCCACTATTACTTACTCTAGATATTAATATTAACGTAAATGGCAGACTGGATAGATTTTCTTGGTAATTAGCACAATATCACCATGTTATTCTTAGTGAGAACAAAATGTAGATGTGCATGATTTCGAATAAAAAGTGTATTTTTAATTTTGTCTTTCATTTCATTCCTCGTAATTACACTAAACGGGTGCTTGCTTTGTAGTTGAATAGTTAAATGCAATGCGATAAGAGCGAGAGGAACTGGGTTCGAATCCTAGGGAATTATGAGAAACGGATGTGAATTGACTCTGAGTCAATTCTGTAATGACCCGGCCAGTTTCGCAAAATCATAACTTCGACGGAACAGATGGCGCTAGCGTAGCAATTTTTATTTTGACGTCAGTGACATCCTCCAGCTTTAGTCCTCCCCGTGACCACGGCTGCTGCAAAGCATCCGAAACGTCGGGCTGAAGTTAAAAATCATTTTCAAATAAGTTTAACTAATATATCGCGTTTTTAACCGTTAAAGTGTTTTACTTAAATGTCTACTACTCGCGTAAACTATTGACAGTATTCAAAATCATTAAAGAATCTAGGTACTTATCATTAACATTTACTACCACTTCTCAAATCAATGGCGTAGAACGAACGACAAGAACTGGCAATAAACTCGCCGTCACTCTTATCGCCAAGTTTCATTTAACATTCTTCATGTACTTTTAGTGCAATACATATTTTTCTTGTTAGAGCGGGCTTCTCCACACTCCAAGCATTTTTATCATTCAAATATTGATTAACGTATATTAGCCCTATCCAAGCAGTTTTTATTTTATATACGATTTCAACTTAACTTTGTTAGAAGTATTGCATGAAGTTTACAAGGGTAGTATAAAAAAAAAGGCTTTCAATTGTTTTAAACAGTTACAATTGTTTTAATTAATTAGTACAAGAAATACATTAATCAATTAAAACTGTGACTTCAAAGTGTAATTACAAAATACAAGCATTTAATAAAAAACTTTTAACGGTTTGAAACGCAGTAGTGCTGGTCATGTACGGACTACCCGTGACCATGTCTGCTGCAGAACATCGCAAACTTCGGGTCGTAGTTAAATAAATTTAAAATAAGTTATAATTTTTTGTAAACTTTATTATTTTTTACATGTTATTGCACATGAAGGCACTATATAATTTAAAAATCGAAAATAAATTGAAAAAATTTTCGACTCGGTAGCTCAATTGGTAGAGCAACAGCACGGAACGCCGACGATGCCGGTTCAAGTCCTGCCCGAGTCGAAAATTTTTTCAATTTATTTTCGATTTTTAAAGTTATAATTTGTTAAAATATTTTGTTTCAATATGTACTCGCGTCCTCTAGAACGACAATACTTAAAAAATCAAGTCTTTGTTTTGTTGTGGTCTAATGATTATTTTTTTGAGTCATTGCTTAAGAAAATCTATTTTAGATTTAAAAATTCGATTAAACGGGCGGAGGTCGAACCCATGATTTAAAAGAGTTCCGTGGTATTGCTCAACCCTTTCTTTATTTAAATTCTCGCATGGTCGTCGTTAAACTATAAGCGATGCAAGCCTCAAAGAAAAAAAATCCAATAAAGTGCAG